GAAGCACACTACACCAATGACGATGGTTGATAGTAACAATTAAACCTTAGCATATGCAATCACATACACTTACTTTTTTCTTATGTCAAACTTCAAAAATATTCAAACAAAGACAACATGCTCATAACAATCCTAGCCTCAAAACTGACTCAATATCATAATGCACTCATGGCTTGAACACTCAACATCGTAGAGAAATCTAATAACGTTACCTATCCCTCATGAAGCCATGTGCCCTCATAACAAGAACAAATGAATACGTTGAATCCACACATTCAAATCAAATAATCAAATATATCTTAAGGACTCACATATATCAAAGAAAATCGTTCATTCTCACAAAAGAAATCACATGCATGTAATTGGTACCATATGCTTGCTCATAATGTAAATCTCCACTAATGTAGGATTACTCGGTCGAAAATCAATTAGGAATTTTTCGTGACAGTAATATGGGCTAAGGGATAGGTAGGATATATTTAGGAATAGTGGCTCAGCCTCCTAAGCATTTTAACACATCACATGGCAACTTAAGCGCAAATTCCTCAATCCACTTTAATTTCACAACTACAATCACCCCCAACAATCTTCCCTCTTTCTTTAAGAACTACTTTAATTTATACCCCACTAGCAAGAACAAGACAACAATTTATTCACCTATATATTTCCTTCTCTTTTATCAGATTTTTCTTCTTCTTTTTTTTTTAACTATTTTTTTCTATTTTCAATTTCCGCTAGTGGTGTACTATTTTACAAAACAAGTGCACCTTTCTTCTTTTCATTGGTTCCACTCAAAAGCCACTCCACACTCAGTCCATTCTTACTTCTTTTAGCGCTCATTTCACAATTAAGGTGCTTTAATGGTAAAAGGATCAAAACAATATCAATTAAGAACAAAAGGGTATAAGCTCGTAATGTGGGTGCCAAATAAATTAAAGAAAGCCTAAAATCATTTTTCAAATCGAGCATTACCTAAATGTTCGCTTCAACTCACATACCGGGCAAGTTCTAGACTCAATCACAAAAACATGGACTACACAAAAATCACACCATACATTGCACATGGCTCACTAAGGATGGTCTCATTCCAACTCTCAAGTAATGCAAGTATTCACAAATCCAAGAGATATTAAGCATAAAGCACAAAGTGAACACAAGTCAAGAAAACGAAACATAGGCGTCACAAAATATGCTATCCAACTAACAAGGCATCATAAATAATTTTAAATCATAGGGAAGAATTTACACATGCCATAGCCTAAATATACTATTATCAAACAAGTCAAAGGCGCCTAGGTTCATCATCCTTCCTCCATTTATTTCCTAAATTTCTAATCTACTCTAAAAGAAAAAAGCTTCCTGGTTCAAACTACATCCCATGGAAAAGAACTAAGGTACAAAGAAAAATTATGGGGGATTATTGCTACCTAAAGAAAGCTAAAAGACATATTTTTGAATTTTTTTAGACTTTAATCCCCCAAGAAAACTGCCTAGGAGATCCATCGTCGGGAAAAGTCCAAATTTTTCTAAATTGTTTTTTCGATTTTTCTACATTATTTTCACATTTTAAAAAAAAGTTAGCTTTAAAACTACTATTACTATACTACACGACTAATTTACTAACTATGCATATAAAAATAAGAAGTTAGCTAACAATAAAAAGATAAAAAATTAATAATATACTAATATAATACTATACAAACCACAGAGAATCTTTCACCCCACACTTCAAATAGTGTAGTGTCTCCAATGCACAAATAAAGTAAAAATAACAAGGGTGGACAAGAAACTCACTGGAAGGTCAAAGGCCGAAGCAATAGCAGCTTACGGGGTACTCAGACTTCTCCCAAGTATGATCCTTTGTGTGGGCACCCCACACTTAGTTCTACCCATCTTGCTCACTTTTACACACTTCCTATGGCTTTGCTACCTATGCTCAAAATCTTACAAAATAAAAATAAATGCTACAAAAATAATATAATGAAAATAAAATTAACAAAAATAAAAGAAAGCAGTAAAGCTGGGTTTCCTCCCAACAAGCGCCTAATTTAACATCACGACACGACTTGAACCACTTTTTGCCTCCACCTCGAACTTATGAATTGTACCCCTAATTTGGTTTCAAGTTTTTTGCTATGCTTTTGGTGGGGCTACAAAAATAACCAGACCAAGTAATAAATTTTTCACTCTGTACTTCTCGGCCTTTAATGAGGAATGTAATTTTTACTTTTTGGCACAACAAATTCAAGAACGTAGGCACTCTTATCCTCATTCTTTGACTCCCCATAGGATCAGATGGCTCGATTACTATCTTTCTATCTAAACACAATATGGAAAAATGATTGAAATGAAGTCTAATATGTCTCAAGTCATGAATTTTACTACTATTTACATCCCCATTTATACGCACACCCAATTCTCCAAAAGTAATGTTATCTACTCACTCGCATGACTCTAGAGCACCTTTCTCAACATTGGCACCATCAAGGGAAATATGGCATAATTATTGGTTTCTCGTTTTAGCTCCTCAATTTGGTCTAGAAGATTCTTTTCAGCTTCACATAACTAATCATTAAATTGTTGGGTGTTTCACGCATCAACCTTTGAACTCAAATCTGCATCCAAGTTATGCACATCCAAGCCAAAATTATCAATTTTATGTGCAAGCTCATATCTCACCTTAGACCAATCATTCACTAATGTTGCTAGAAGACAACGTCGTTCTGCATATTCGCCTAATTGAGAATATCCGTCCCAATACCAATCCTTACTCCCATATTCAAATTCAGACCTTCCAGAGTTCAGGTCATGACAAGCCCAAAAAGACGGGCCATAAAAGTCTTCCGTCAACCAAGCGTCTTCATCAATAACCTTACCTACGGATATTTCATCCTTGAATGTCATGTTGAGAGAACTAGAAACACACTAAAAGAAAAATCAAATAGTTATAAAATAAAAATATTTACAAAAAGAAAAAAAACTTGTAAAGATAAAAGTTAAAGTCTAATCCAGAAAAAAAACTAATTTCTAAGTCCCCATCAACGGTGCCAAAAACTTGTTGCGGTCAAACGCACATGCAAGTATACACGGTCATCAGGTAATAAAGTGATTAAAAGTCAGATGTCGAACCCATGAGGACTTGTGATTAACTATTAACTAAATTAAACTATCCTAATTATCTAAACAAGGATTAAACCGAAAAGTAGTGATGCTAAAGTAATTAAACTAAAAAGAAAATAACTAATGAACTTTAAATAGAGGAAGAGCAGATTTTTATATTATAAATGTGATAAAAATAATCTAGGATTATGGGCTATCTAAAATTCCTATTGTATTCTTCAATTGAATTGGTTAACTAATTTATCTATTTTATTGGTTAACAGAGTTAATATTACTCATAAGAATCTGTCGAGTTCTTACTCGCCTATTCAAGCTAGCGTAACGCATATATGTCTAGGAGTTAAAATGAACAAGAACACATTTATAATTCTGGTAAATCAACCAAGAAAGCCAATTAGGTATATGTCTATCCTAACTGAGAATTTGTTCCCCGATGCCCAGGTTCAAGAACTTGCTCTATTCAATCATATAAGCAATCTAGAATTCCCACTTACGAGTTCAATTAGAGATTCGTAGATAGTATTCAATTGTTGATCAAGAAATTAAATAATTAAGCGCAGTATTGAATAAATAAACTAATACGATAAATCAAGAAATCAAAATCAATATCTGAATAACAATAGTCATGAAAGAACCACAACCCTAGAACGTGAAGTTTAGCTCCACATAGACATAGTAGCAAAACAACAAATCATACAAAGAAACATAAAAATTACTAAGTATGGTGGAAGAAAAGATGAAACCCGGTCTCCACGGCAGCTCTGTGCTCTCTCTTCGTCAAAAGTTCCTCTAAAAAATGTTCGCATCTTCCAAAATAGGTTTAGGATCCCATTTATATAAGTTGGACAGTGTAAGGCTAAAATAACCTTGTCCCGGGCGAAATAAGACAAATCCCGCACGTAGGATCCAGGCCAGCGCCTCGCGCTGGCAGTGGTGCTAAATCCAGTACGTTAAATTTCATCTTCAATTCCAATTCTTTTTTTTGATTGTAATTTCCTTTTTCTTTTGTCTTACATTTGGGGGACAAAACCCAAAGGGTGTACCCCCTTAGTCTCCCTATTTTTAATTCTTTTTATTTTTCTTTCTTTTCTTTTGCGTTTTATTCAATTGTGTTTGAAATCTCTTCATCTTCACACTGTTTTATTTTTACACAGTTAAAATATAATATTAAACACAAAGTAATATAATTAATACTTAAAAAATTATTAAAAGTATTAGAATGTGAGGCAACAATAGGTAAATATATGCATATTTTACCGAATATCAGTGATTTAGAGGTAATATTAACTAAATAAATAAGTTGTGTGTTGGAAGGCATGCAAACCACCTAAAATTTGAAGGCAAGTGTGAATTATGTAAGTGTATTTCACTTCTTTCTTCAAAAGATAGATTACACCTAGAATATATATACAAAGCTAGAGACATAATTCAAAAGTGTATCCCTAAGGTCATGGCTTTTACCCACAATCTTTAACTTTACCATCAGACACAATTAGCTTTTACCCACAATCTTTAACTATACCATCAGATACAACTAACATATAATATAATATTGAAATACTCTCTGACAAGATCTAAGTCTTAACACTCCCCCCTCAAGCTGGAGCATACATGTCATGTACTCCAAGTTTGCTACAAATGTATTCAATCCGAGCCCCTCTAAGGGACATAGTAAGAACATCTGCCAATTGGTCATTTGAACCGACGAAGCTAGTGACAATGCATCTGTACTCGATCTTCTACCTGATAAAATGACAATTCACATCTATATATTTCGTTCTTTCATGAAAAATTGGACATGAAGCAATATGAAGGACAACCTGATTGTCGCATATAAGCTCCATATGTTTGAACTCAAAACATTGTAACTCTTGGAGGAGTTATTTCAACCAAGTAAGCTCGCATGTAACAAGGGTCATAGCTCGATATTTTGCTTTTGCACTAGATCTAGCAATAACATCTTGCTTTTTGCTTTTCCAAGAAATTAGATTTTCCCCCATCATGACATAGTACCCAGAAGTAAAGCGTTTATCTGACGGAGAACCTGCCCAATCAGCATCAGAATATCCAATAATGTTTTTGTTACCTTTATCTTCATATAATAGTCCTTGTCCTGAAGTTTTTTTTATGTATCTTAGAATGCGAATTAATGCGTCCCAATGATCTTTAGATGGAGCTTGGAGAAACCGACTAACCACACTTACCGCAAATGAAATATTAGGTCGGGTGATAGTAAGATAATTTAGTTTACCGACCAGTCATCGATATCTGCCAGGATCTTTTAATGGCTCCCATTGTCCAAGGACGAGTTTGACATTTGGATCCATAGGAGCGTCAATAGGTTTGCAGTTTAACATGCATGTTTCCTCAAGTATGTCCAAAGCATATTTTCTTTGTGAGATAGCAATACCGGTCTTGGATTTTGCTACCTCGATTCCCAAAAAATACTTTTAACTTTCCCAAGTCCTTGGTTTAAAAGCAGTTGAATAGATGCTGTTTTAGCTCAGATATTCCTTCTTGATCATTTCCAGTTATGACTTCATCAACATAAACGACCACATAAATGTTCTTTTCTGGACCATTATGTCGATAGAAAATGGAGTGATCTGCTTCACTTCGAGACATCCCAAATTGTTGGACAACAGAGCTAAATCTACCAAATCATGCTCTCAGAGATTGCTTAAGGCCATATAGTGAATGTTTCAGACGGCACACTAAATTTGACTCTACCTAGGAATCAAACCTAGGAGTTTGCTCCATATAAACTTCCGCAGCAAGCTCACCATTTAAAAAGCATTTTTAATATCTAGTTGATGAAGAGGCCAATAGTGCATTTCTGCTAAGGAGATAAGCAGTCGAACATATGTAATCTTGGAAACTAGAGAGAATGTGTCGCCATAGTCAATACCATAAATTTGGGTGTATCCTTTAGCAATAAGGTGAGCTTTCAGTCGATCAATTGTTCCATCTAAACCTATTTTTACTGTATAGATCCACCGATATCCAATGGTAGATTTTTCTTTCAGCAACTGGACCAATTTCCAAGTGTTATTGGTCTCTAAAGCAGTCATTTCTTCGATCGTAGAACATTTCCACCTTGAATGTTGCAATGCTTCGCCAATATTCTTTGATATAGGTATATTAGATAGGGCAGATACAAAGGTATAATATAATGGGGACAATCGATGGTAACTCATGTAGTTAAATCGTACTAGTTTTTGAGTAGTGCATATACCTTTGTGTATGGAAATTGGTGGAGTTACTGCATCTGATGAAGGCATGACTGGAGCAGGTAACGTAGAAGCAAGAGACGAGTCATTGGGAGCTACCAACGTATCCAGATCAGGAGTAGTACTTTCATTAGTATTAGCTAGAGGACTGGCACGAGTCATTGGGTCCACTTAGCCTTTTCACTAGTATTAATTTCACTAGCATTTTTGACTAAGTGATTCTTATATCCCTGTTCCATGAACCACATCTCAACTGAAGAAGAACATGGTGAGTAATTATTACTACCTTGTAATTTAACATTAGTAATAATGGAAGGATTCAAAATTGGAGAGAAAAATGGTTTGACTTCTTCTGCAGTGGAGGACTCACCTGTCATTTTGATATTTAAATTTCAAAAAGGCAAGTGTACAAAATAATGTGGGATAGAGGACAAAAGTAAGATCACTCCGTAATGAAATAGAAGACTTTGTTGTTCAAGAAAGTTTGTAAGAATGGCCCCCACATGTAAAGAAAAAGTAATAAAGTATGACTTGAAATAAAGAAAGCTTTACTTTGGAAAAAGCTATCAAAACCAAAATTTTACTCAACTGCTTCAAACGAAAAATTCCCTCTCAAGTGACCCACCAAATCAAGACTCAACAGAATACTTTTCTTTTCCTCTCACCAAAATCACAAGATCTGACCGGGAAAGGAGATTACTAATGGAGTTGGATCAGAGGGTAACAAGATCTGACCGGAAATTACTTCGGAGATTTTAGAAAATGTGATGGGTAAGACAAGAATAAATGTGTGATGACCCGGCTTGTCGTCTTAAGAATTTATGCCCCTACCTCCTATTAACTGCTTTCCCCAAATTTAATTCTGCTAATTTGATTCGCCGGGATGTTCGATTGTGAGTTTCGAAGAATTTTGGGACACTTAGTCCCTAAATAAGGGCTTAAGTGTTAGAAAGTTAACCGTAGTCGGAAAAGTGTGAAAACGGCCTCAGAATAGAAATCTGACAGTTCCGTTAGCTCCGTTGGGTGATTTTAGGGTTAGGAGCGTATTCGGAATGTGTTTTGGAGGTCCGTAGCTAAATTAGGCTTGAAATGCCGAAAATTGAATTTTTGAAGTTTCCGGTTCGATAGTGAAATTTTGATCCGAGAGTCGGAATGGAATTTTGGAAGTTGCAATAGTTCCGTCATGTCATTTGGGATGTGTGTGCAAAATTTCAGGTCATTCGGACGTGGGTTGGTTAGGTTTTTGATCGAAAGCGTATTTTGAGGAAATTTGGAGTTCATAGGCTTAAATCCTTGATTAATTCGAGTTTCCAATGTTGTTGCATATGATTTAAGGATTGGTACAAGTTTGAATAAGGTATTAGGTGATATTAGTGCTTTTGGTTGAGGTCCCGGTGGCCTCGGGATGATTTTAGATGATTGACGGAAAGATTTTTAAAGTTAAGATTCAGAAAATTGTTGGTGTATGTCATAACTGTACCTGCGGTTTGGGTTCCGCAGGTGCGGAGCCGTAGAAGCGGCGTAGAGATCGCAGAAGCGGATTCAGATTCCGCAGATGCGGAAGGAGTACCGCAGATGCGGTTACGCATCTACAAAAAAGAAATTGCAGATGCGGCTCCTGGGCAATTAAATGAAAGTCACAGATGCGACATGGTTTCTGCAGATGTGATCCCAGAGCCGCAAATGCGGAAATCGCTGGGCAGAACATATAAATAATTGCCTTTGCGAAAATTGGCTATTCTTCCACCATTTTTATCCTAGTTTGAAGCTTCTAAGAGGGGTTTTTGAGGAAATCAAAGGGAAATCACTTGGAGGTAATGTTCTTGACCTTACAACTCGTTTCTATGTGATTAAAGACCTAATTAATGGTGAAAAAATTTGGGAAAAAGGGGTAGTTAGGGCTTGAGTTTAAGAGACATTTGATTGAGTGTTTGAGGGGCCATTTGGACTCCGATTTTAGTGTTCTTGTTATGTATAGACTCGTGAGAGTACGAGGTTTCTGAAAATATAAATTTCACCCGATTCCGAGATATTGGCATGAGGGGCATTTTGGTCATTTTACATGATTTCGCGTATTAGCTTAGAATTTAACTGTAGAATCAGTTACTTGAAGTGTTATTTACAATATGCAACTGAATTGAATAGATTTGGACCATTTGGAGTCGGATACTTGTGGCAAAAGTGTGGTTTCAAGTTGATTTTTGAGCCGATTCAAGCTAAGTGGCTTGCCTAACCTTCTGTGGGGGACCTTCCCCTTAGGATTGATATATTTGGTAATTGAGATGCCTTGTACGTGAGGTAACGAGTGCGTACTTGTGCTAATTATTGGAAATTCATTTTTTTAAGTAATTACTAGTATGTTTCTTTTCCTGTTTCTATTTCTTGCACTATTGAGCATGTTGTTAGCTTAGGAAAACATGTATAAGTGACTTAATTTGCTTTATTTGATTTAACCTGCCTTACTTGGATTTTGTGCAGCATGCTAGGCTAGAATCACTTGTTTCCTTAATATGAAATCTTATCATTTCTGTATATCTTCCTGCTATTGCTGTGTATTTATATTGGGACTACAGATGTGGGATTCCGGTGGCTCCTCCCTTGTCTGTTTAATTGGGACTACGAGTTAGATTCCCGATAGATCCCCCTGCATATTTACTTTGGGACTAGTGGTTAGATTCCCGGTAGATCCCCTGCACAGTTATATGGAACTACGGAAATGCACCCGGTAGATTCCTCCAGTACTGGGTATTTACATTTGGGGTTATGGAACAGGATTCCGGTAGATCCCCGCACACTATGAGTTGGACTATAGGACAGTATCCCGGGAGATCCTTCGGATATATATATATATATATATATATATGATGGACTACGGGACATGGGAGATCCACTGGACATGTAAAGATGGGACTACAGGACGGTATCCTGGGAGATCCCCGATCGTTACTATCGATGCTGAGTTGTATTTCCTTTCCATGTTTACCTTGTTCTGTATAGTTGTTGATGTTCTGTTCACCCTGTGTTATTTTACTGTTGTACTCATTTATACTGTTTCGTTCTATGTTGTTAACCTTTATATTTTATTTAATCTCAGTAGGGCCCTGATCTTCCTCGTCACTACCCAACCGAGGTTAGGCTTGGCACTTATTGAGTACCGTTGTGGTGTACTCATGCCTCTTCTGTGCATGTTTTTTATGTGCAGAATGAGGTACCGCTGATCAGGCCTACTATTGTTGAGGGAGGTGACTGCGTAGAGACTCCGAGGTACATCTGCCACGTCCGCAGACCAAGAAGTCTTTTTCTATTCCTGCCTTTTAGTATTTACCCCTTCTGTACTTTTCTTTTCTTTATTAGAAATTCCGGAGTTAGAGCTATGTAGTATTTCTTTCTTAGCTTGTGATTCATGGGTTTCCGGGTCTTGGATATATGTTTGGTATTGAGAGTTAAACATGGTTTATGCCGAGCGACACATTTATACACTGTCACTACTTTATTCCTGTTTTAAATTGTTTACTTCCGCAAGTTTTAGTTTTTCTTCCGCAAATTAGGCTTACCTAGTCGTAGAGACTAGGTGCCGTCACGATGGTTCATGGAGGGCGAACCGAGGTCATGACAAGTTGGTATCAGAGCTCTAGGTTCATAGGAGTCATGGATCACAAGCCGGTTTATTAGAGTCTCGCTGATCGGTACGGAGACATCTATACTTATTTACGAGAGGCTATGTAATTGTTAGGAAAATTCCACTTTATTTGATTTCCTTGTCGTGCGATATTTTGACAACACCATTCTAAACTTCTGTCTTATATTATCTCACAGATGGTGAGGACACGTGCTACCCGAGATGATCAAGCACCCGCGCCCTTGCAGGAGTTGCCAGAAGTCGGGGTCGGGGTAGAGGCCGAGGATGCGCACGTGGTGCAGCCAGAGCACCTGCGCGAGCTACCGCCGAAGTACCACCAGTGGATCTAGCTAGAGTCCAGGCACCTGACACACCTACTACTACTACCACGCCAGCACTTTAGGAGACTCTGTCATAGTTTATGAGCATGTACACCACTCTGGCTCAGGCAGGGTTGCTTCCCCTTGCTGCAGCCACATCCCAGGCCGGGGGAGGAGCACAGACTCCCACCGCCCGCACTCTTGAGCAGCGAGTGCATGTTGAGCAGGTCCCTGGGATTATTCCTGCAGTGCCAGCTCAGCCCAAGAAAAAGGCAGCTGCTTCCGAGGATGAGCAGTTGAGGCTTGAAAGGTTCAAGAAGTACAAGCCTCCTGTATTCAGTGGTCTAGCATCGGAGGATGCTCTGGGATTCCTTGATGAGTGTTACCACATTCTCCGTACTATGGGCATCTCAGGATCGAGGGGGTTTCTTTCACTACTTTCCAACTTTGAGGAGCTACCTATGAGTGGTGGCGCACCTATGAGTTAGACAGTCCAGATGAGGCTGTTTCACTAACTTGGACTCAGTTTTCGGATCTGTTCCTCTGAGAGTATGTTCCTTAGAGCGTCAAGGATGCATGGTGCACAGAGTTTAAGCAATTGCGCCAGGGTGCTATGACAATTTTAGAGTATGCTGTCTGTTACACCAGTTTAGCTAGGCATGCACTAGCCTTGGTTGCTACTGTTCGCGAGAGGGTTCGCCGGTTTATTGAGGGGCTTATTTCCCCCATCAGATCTAGCATGGCTCGTGAGTTGGAGATGGATATTTCTGACCAGCAGGTGGTGAGCATTGCTAGGAGGATTGAGGATATGCATGCTAGGGAGAAAGAGAAGAGGGAGGCCAAGAGGTCTCGAGAGTCGGGCCATTATTCTGGTGCCCGTACCCCAGCTGTAGGTCATCATGGTAGGGGTTATATGAGCCGCCCCATTCATTCAGCTCTTCCAGCAGCCAGTGGTATTCCATCTCCTCCTAGACCTTAGGAGCCTTATTATGCACCTCCGGTTTCTAGCGCGCCTCCTGCGCGTAGTGCTTTTAGGGGTCAGTCCAGAAAACCTGGCCCTAGCCAGTCATAGCTTCCACGTCCTCCCAGAGCTTGTTTTGAGTGTGGTGACACATGCCATATGGTCAGGGATTGCCCCAGACTTGGGAGGGGTGCACTCCACAGACTTCTCAGCCACAGCGTGCCCCGCAGAGTTCTCAGGCTATGGTTACACCTCTAGTTGC